ATTTCACTGACAGTCTGTGGCAGAGGCGGGTCTGTTAGCCGATTGCCAGGCTAGCGTTCAGCTCTTTAAATAGAAGAGCCTTTGCTCCCCTCCGTCTTCCTTGCGATCCTCTCCCACATTCACTGCATAGTTTCAAACTTCTGCAATGAGTGAAGTGGGCATCTGACAGACAACAGCCTTCTTCACATACACAGTCTTGATTCATCCCTGGAGGGAGTCTGTAATGTTCCCTGGATATGGCAGATGTTCTACGGAGTAAACTATATCAGAAACTTAACGAATACCATAGTGCATATACTCAAAGGTTGATACTTTTTTAAGATGGAAGGGGCAGCTGAAAACAAGCTGAAAAACTTGATTTTTGAATCCTTAGTATCGCAACCTTAAAGAACTTAATCATTTGTTCAGTATAGAGAGGGCTTCTGTCTGCAACTTCTTTGAACTTTAGTAAAAAAAAAACAAAAGCGCTAAACTTCATGTGGTAATATCTGAGCTGTTATGGTTTTGAACAATTGAGTTGAAATAATGAAATCTACTGTCCTACAGTTGTTGGAGCTTCCCAAGGCTAGCCGTAATCTGTAATTCTCCCTGTGGATCACAACTGGAAAGAGGAGTGGCATATCGCTGAATTAAAGTATTTGCTGGCAGTGTGACTTTAGAAAAGCTGACCCCTATCAGAGTGTGTTCTTGCCCGTCTTATTGTCCTAGGTCTCCCATCTGCAGCTGCCTAGGTTAAGACTTTCATGAATGTGTATCGCTGGACGTAGGCGAGATGGTTGTCCTGAATGCTGAGGCTGCTGCTGTGTGATACCAGGTCCACATCTGAGAGCTTTTGTTTTTTTCAGATGAATCTTTGAATACAGCTGTAAAACCTAGTGTTCTTAATTAATTTTTTTTTTTCCTTAGGTCAGCCAAGCCTCCGAGAAGCTATCTCGATGTCCTGTATAACTAATGGGAGTACAGGAAGCAGGAAAACAAGCCACAGTTCCTCGGTTTCTGTTGCCAGAAAAGAAACTCTTTCATCTGCTGCAAAAAGGTACTGACTAATTATTAAAATTGAAATTATGCTTTTTTGGAAAAAAACAAACAGAGCAAGAGTTTGATTTTTGCCTCTGCATAAAGCCTTAGCAGAGCTTCCTGAAGTCTAGTAAGGCACAAATAAACTTTGCAGATGTACCATGTTGTTGGGCTGCTTACAGCAGGGTTCTAAAAAGAATTCGTAAGTGGAACATGTTTCTATAGTGTATAGTGTCCAAAATGCATTCTCACTAAGGGACAGAATGGGGAAATGTATTTCCAGTACAAATGGAAATTTTTTCCTTCAGGTATTCATCTGCATCTTTATTTTTTTTTCCCCAAGGAAATTGAAGGACAAAACTGACTCCATTGTCTGGAGTGTAAATAGTAGGCAATAGCAAAATAGCTATGAAACAATAGTGCACTGTGTAAGGTAAAAGTTTACATTTTTAGGTAGAAAATCTTAACCCAAAATACGGCTACGTGGTCTTTATGAAGAATATCCATATCAGATCACAAACGTGTAGAAATAACATGCATGAGTATTTTTAAGTCAAATGAGCTAAGCACCAAACAATAGCTTTTTTTCTCCATGTAATGATTTCAGCTGCATACAGTAAACAAAGTGTTGGTATAACTACTTTTTTCTGTGGGTCTGTTAGACAGTGATTATATGGCTTCTTTAATCAGTAGGTTTTGCACCTATCCCTGTTCGTTGGGAAGAACAGGCTGCCATAACAGCCACGGGGCAGAGAATACTCTAATGTATAACTGTGGTGAATTATGTGAACAGATTCTTGGCCTCTGTAGAGTACTCTGGTAACTCCAGTGGCTGGTTTATCTTCTAGTGTGGATGTAAATACTGTGCTATACAACAAGACAGGGAAATTATATATTTCAGGGAATAAAAATACTGTATGCAAATATAAACTGTATGAGAACAAACCAGAAAAAGCTTTAGTGCCCTTTGGAATTTGGAAAGCAAGGGTAATGCCTGGCTTTTCTTCCTTCACCATTGTGTAGCATTTCATATCTTTCTTATTTATTGAATCCTTATGTTTACTGTTCAACAATAAATCAGAAAGTGATCGCTCTATATCTCTGTCTGCTGGTGTGACAAGCCACTGGGACAAAAGACATTGCTGCAGGAAGGTATTTCTGAGTTAGCACTTTTCCATTAATCTTACCCCTGTGGCTCTTGGCACTTTGATGAGAGCCAGTCCGGTTCCCGTGGTGCTCAGCTTGCGTTTGCGCTGAATCACCCTCCTGATTCATTGGCTGCTCAACACTTGACTACAGAAGAAGAGCAGAGTGGAGTGGCCGGCATCCCTTTCATCTGAATTAAGTTCTTTAAAAGGAGACCTGGATAGGCCAAAAGAGGAAAGCCTTAATATGCAGAGGGCAGCTCTCCCCAGGCACCCAAACAACTGTCCAGGGCAGGTTTTGGTGCTTCCAATGCATCTGAAGATATGTGACTCTCGTCAAGGTTTGTTTTAGGAAGACTTAAGTCTCCTCTTTAGTTACCTTTTCAGCAGTTCTTTTGCTGTCCTGTATTAATACACTCTTCCGTGAAATTTGGTTGATATTTGAAAGAAAATAGACTTGCCCTTTTGTAACATTACCAGCTCAAGAAAGGTGAAAGAAAGCGTCTAATCAGGCTTTGTGGTTGTGTTTTTTTAACAACAAAATTGTTCAGTAGCAAATTATGTTCCTAGTAGAAGACATAAGGGAATGTCAGTAGTAGTCCTATTTCCTTGAAGTTAGGGTAAACATGTCTATTTCTAACATTCTTGTCACGGTAGAAGAGGAGAGAGGCCAAAAGAAAATATCAGGTGGTTATGGGATGCTTCACTCCAACTTGTCCAGGCTTTTCTTCAGGCTGGAGGTTGAGCTGGTGCAGCAGGTGGACATGGTCATCTGTTGATGTAGAATTACACTTTAGTTACCAAACAGCCCTCATTACCTGCCTATAGCTTTTCATGTTCTAAATATACGTAGCTGTACATCTGGTCACAAATAACAGAATAAACTGAAGTTCAGTGTCTGTATTTTGTGCAGTCTTAATATCATACGTTTCTGGGGCTCTGGCCTCTGTAGACCTGCGATCTCTCAGAATTTCTTCTGTTTCGTTTCCTGGACTGTTTAACCCTTTTTCTGCTGACTGAAACACTGAGATCATGGAGATAATCTGATGGCTCAGTAGCTGCAAAGCAGCAGCAGCACGTCTCATTTCAACAAAGGTGTGCTAAAATATCAGCTGTTGCTAAAACCGGAGTCCAGGAATGTACCACGAACAACGAGTAGATGATGTCCCATCGGCAGAGATGAAGTCATATATGCGCTGGGAAGATTTCAGCCCTGAAGTTTGGAACTGACTTGTGATAGAGGTGCCGAAGCACTTTAGAACAAAAACCATGCTACATACCTTGTATTATATCACTGGAGTTGGAAACAGGTTTGTATTTCATACTGCAGGTGGCTGTCACAAAGACCTGCTGGATCATTCTCCTTAGGACTAAATATTCTTTTGAAAATGACTTCTGGTAAGAATAGTCTTCATGTTTCAGAATGACCACTCTCCACAGTAGCTGCCAGTGTGTTGTGGTCCAAAGGATGAAACATTTTGTGAAGTGAAATTAGAGAATCTGCAAAATTAGGACAGATAATAGATCTCACCGACTCACATGTAGACTGAAGAAATGCCTCATCGAGTTGGGATTTGGAAAGAATTTTTGGACACATTAAGTGACTGCTTCCCAGAACAACTAGTCTGTAGAAACCCGCAAGAAAAGGTGCTGCTGTTGTTTTGGTTTCAGTTGTTGCACAAGAGGTATTAATATACAATTAAGCGGAAGATTTAGTGGAAGAGAGCAAACCAAATAAATTCAGCACAAAGATACTCAATACCAAGACTGCAACATAGCTACGTAATTTACTTGCAAATTAAAATAGCAGTCAAAAATGCAACCTGGTGGTAGATAAAAGCACGGTGTTGGAACCCAAGGTGTACCTTGTGCTGCAACTCAGAGAAACCAGAGTGGTCCAGTGACTCCTGCCCAACAGAGCAGTTAAGAGTGAACCTAATGGCAAGGACATGAAATGGATAGTCCACAGCTGACAAGCTGAGTGAAGCCATTGAAGAGATTCCCACACTGAACCTGTGGTTTCTAGGAGATGGATCAGATGAGCTAAACGAGTTTGGGTAAGAACACAGGCAATATGAGACCAAATTGGTAAGTTAGATGTGCTGCTGTCAGCAGGTGGCATTCACCTGAGCCGGCTGGAGGAATGTAGAGGTGAATTGCAGGATTGCTGGTGTGTCATTGTAAGTAGGATGTTACAAAAACTGTGGGGAAAGGGACTGCGGGTAATGACCTCACTGATGAGCTCTTTTGTGCCACCATCAGAGAGAGAATATGGTGCTAGGTGAGCCACTGTTCTGACCAAGTAGGACCATTCTTTGTAGACTTGCAAGCTGGAGTTGGAAAGTCATTACATTTGTGTATTCTCTCTCCTCCTGCAACCCACATCTCTTTTACTATTATTAGACTATATTTTGAAATCCCCAAGTAGAGGGAAAGGAAAAATTGGAAGCGTGTCTTCCTGAAAGATTATTTCTTTAAATCAAAACAAAAGACTCAGTCCTCATAGGTGGACTTTATTGTGAGAAATCCTGAGTTTATGGAAAAAATGGATGCAGAGGTCTGTTTGTACCTGTTGGAGTGGGAATAGAGAGATTCTTGTTTTCTTTAGTAACTAGAGATTTCGAGAATTCATTTCGCTATACTGCATTTCTTGCCACAGATTGCGGAAAGATTAAGACTGCTTTGTGTGCTCTTGCATCCAGCAATGCAAGCAAAGTCTTCTGATAGAAAAATAATAATTTTTATGTTTCTAGTTAATTAAGGACTTCCAGATATAAATTATTAAGCAAAGCCCTACAGTTCTTCAAGCTTGTTCTCTATGATCACATACATGACCTCAAGAAATGTGAAAAGCCCTTTCTGTTTTGTTTTCATCTGTTTTTCTGAAAAGAAAATATGACTTTGATGGATTATATTGACGTTTTTAACTAGGTAATATTATTTACAGAACAAATCCTGAGTGATCCTTATAAATGTATTTTGGGTTCTGTATTATTTTTCATGTTTTGACCTGTTCTTCAGTGTAGAAAAGTTGAATTCCTATAAGTGTTGAGAGCTTTGTCTCGGTGGTAGATGATGTACTGTAATTGAAATAACAAATGAAACAAAATGAGGATCCTATGAATGTTATATTAAAATTGGGGACCTGTTTTTATTCATTTATTGTGTTACTGTATTGCGTTGTTTTGTGGGGAAAGGTAAATGAAAACACAAATAATTAAGATATGTAAGTGTTTAGCGGAGGGGAGTAAGTGGTGTGAGGGAATAAAAATCTGGATTCTCCCTTTCAGAAAGATACTATCTCTTTTTTACTTTGCAGGTTACTTTGAACCTAAGAGAAAAATCTTTCTTTTTTTTCCTTTTTAGCTGTTGTTTGTATCTTACTTTGTTCACTGAGAAATTTTTGGTTGTTCACTGGAAGGTGTTTTTTTTTCTCTTGAAAAAAAAAAAAGGCCAATAACTACAGAATACTCTTCTCTTTCAGGTCCTGCTATTGTTTGTGTGATTCAGTATATTAAACAACAGCCTTTTAATTAATCTTTCTGTTTACTTAGTGGACCTTTGGTTAGGTCCTCAATGAATTTAAGGTTCATTCATAAATGACATGCATTTAAAACTGTTTCGAATGCTAACCTAATAAATAGAGCGCTATGAAAATAAAGGTGGTGTATTCTTAGCTGTTGTTCACTGAAGGCATTAAAGAAGTGGCAAGACAGTGGGATTTTAGTCAACTACAGATCAAAACAGTGCTGAGTTTCACTCTTTTGGTGACAGCGCAAAGACAGTCGGTACCACGCATGTCCAGCAATACAGAGAGAGGTAAAGTTTCATGGCAGGCGTAAGCTAATCGGAGGTGGTGCAAGTCACACTCCTGCCTTTTGCTGGCACTGAGCCTCGGCTGGCAGCGTGGTAAGGGCGCCGGTGAGCTCAACCATAGGATGATTTTTTTTTTTTTTTTTAAAAAAACAGCAGAATTGTGGTGCATCAATTTGTGTCAGCTTTGAATGCTGTAGAAGCACCCTCAAATGAAGGACATACTTGAATCAAAGTTGTCTTTGTTTTAAAGTTAGAGTAAACCTAGTACAACCACGCAGTAAAAATAAGCAAATAGTTTTCCATCCTCCCTTACCTTTTTGATTTTTAGAGCTTGTGAATAAATCTTATTTTAGCAAAATGCTAACCTGAAGAGAGTGAGTAATAATCAAAGCGTTCTTCCGTTGATTATATATAGTAAGTTGTTACATGCTTTTCCCATCTTTTCACAGAGGGCATTTTCTCCCTCCTTTTTAATTTATTTGCTTGTTCTCTTTTTTTTTTTCTTCCCCCTCTATGTTATACTTTATTTTACAGCGGTACAGAAAAAAAGAAGGAAAAACCTCCAGGACAGAAAGAAAAAAAAGAGGAATCTCATTCTAATGATCAAAGTCCACAAACTCAAGCATCACCTTCTCCCCAGCCCTCCTCACAGACTCTCCAAACACACAGGCAAACTCAAGAAAGCAAGAGTTCTACTCCAGCTAAAAGGTTTTCACAGTACCACAGTACAGCACTGGAAAATAATTGTAATGATACTGGGTTCATATTTGACAAGTCATGTGAAATAGTTCCAGTCTCATGATCAAGTTAATGAATATTTGATACTTTTTATGCTAGAGAAGATGCATTCAACATACATTGCAACAGAGCAAATATGTAAAAATGCAATTTTTCTTTGAGTAAATTTTTAAAATTACAAATGTTTTTTTGTTCTCTGTGATTGAAATCCTACTATGGTAGATTACCTTTAATTAGTCATTATTCTAAAATATTTAATGATTACTCTGGCTTGATCCTTCTCAAAATACACTTCATAGTTATTGTCTGGCATAGCTGAATTGTGGAGTGTATTTTGCACATGGCCATTTACTACATCTCATAACAGTATTTGTTAAATACTAGTATCATTGCAACTTTTCCTTCGTGAGTTTTTTTTCTCAAATTATTCTATAAAGTGACTGCAGTTTGGCTTTTCTTTGCGGCCCTTGCCTTTTCAATTCCTACTAGGTTGCGGGGTGGTTCACTTCACTTTTATTCTGATTCTTTACATGAGTGAAGTTCTGGTTTTACACCCAAATCATAGAACTGCTTTACTTGAGTGAACATAGAAGTTTATTTAGGTTTGCCTCTGAGTTCCTACTCATTTTAGTGGGAATTACGCACAGAAAAAACGATACCTTTTTTTAAAAAAAAAAAAAAAATCAAGGAACTGAATTTTAAGATTTGGGTGATTATTTCTGAGTTTCAAAAACGATGCAGATCACTCAGTGTGGTTTCTTTTTCTTTTTTATTTTTTTTTTGTTGTTGTTCTTTGTCACCTTACTGTTTTGGAAGGTGTGAAATTTTCTTCTAGTGTTTGGCATTGAGGAGACTGAAACAAGCTCTTAAATAAAAGAAGTTTATTCTTCTGAAATTTACCGTAGTTCACAAGATTATGTTGTCTTGCATTGCTCGAATTCACAGCTCTAATAAATATTTAAACTTTCACTTGACTGATGCATGTTATAACACTCCATAAAGGCTCTGTCTCCATGTCTTGCACAAACTCTTGAGTTGTCTGAAGCTGAACTTGTGGCCTGTTGTTCTCCTGCCTGGTTTCTCACTGTAAAGATGTTTGTCTGAAGTCTTGCTTACTAATCTTTTGTAATGTGGGGAAGAAAAAAAAATGTCTTTTTTAGTCTCCTAATGGTTTAACTTGACTTGATTAACTTGTTTGTCGCAGGACCTTTCAGCCTCTTGAGGTGCTGCGGGAGGAGCTTGCCATTTCTAAGGTTGCGGTTCAGGACTTACTCCTGCAAAAAGCATTTCTGACGGGATGAAGTATGAGACTGTTAGCAGGACATATCCATACTCTAAATCATCTGGTTGAAGAATAATTCGAGCTAGATCGCTTTTGAACATGTTTTCTGTGTTGAAAATGTGTGGAAAATTAATGAACTAGTGACTGCAAAACTTGCAGGTTCGCATTAGTGTAAATTGGCTACAATAAGATTGCTGAGAAATTATATCAGAATTTGTGGATTTAATCATCTGTAGTATTGGGCCAAATCTAGCTGTCCTTATTCATGCAAGAAATTTGCAGACATTTATTTCAAAAAGATTAAAGCCATTAATGTGGTTTATAATGCGCTATCTGCAAAACAGCCATGTGAAACCATAATCTGATTGAACTGTTCTGCCTTAGAAATCAGTGTGTTACAGCTGGTGAACAGTTAATCAGGGAAAAAAAATTTCTACTTTTGTTTGTTACCTTCGTAAGTGATTTTTTTTTTTAATAATTTATTCTTTAAGGCTAATATACTGTAGCCTCTTTTTTTTTTTCCTACTTTTGCAATTCATTAGCAATACAGTAATGAAATATAGAGTTATTTTGTTCAAGTCTGTGTAAGAGCATTTGGAAATGGAAAGGAGTGGATAAAACCTTCGGCAACTGTCTTGCTCAATTGTTTTCATTCATCCAGTTAGAACTTTGACTAATCTTTTTTTCCTGTTTCATGCTTCAGCTTGAAGGAAGACCTAGCTCTGCTTTTGTCTCCTGCTGCTTGATCTGTCAGTTGCATACCAGTTCCAGTTATTGTTACCTTATTATCATGTCATTTTAAAATATATTTTTGTTTCTTCTAGCATAAAGAAATCCTTGACTGCTGAAAAACCTCACAGTGCTTGGGAGAGTTCAGATGACAGTCGTAACAAGCTGCTGAGAGTAGCATCAACATCTAAATTAATATCAAAAGTGGCAAAGAACGCAGACAAGTATGTATCAGTTTGGTACATAAAAGCTAGTGAGCTTCACACTGAAAATATTATGAAATTGTGTAATTTTAGTGAACTTATTTATGTATATGCTAAGACCATTTGCATCTGTGTTTTTACCAGGAGTAATTACTTGCATAACCTGGCAATATGGTGTTCCAGGTGCCTGTGAAATCTTAAAATCGTTATAAAATGTGAATGCAGGATTTGAGTGTAAATATATTTTAATGTTGCCCATTTAGGCTAGTGGAATTATGCACTATGAATTAAGATTTATGGCTTAATGCCACTGTTACGAAACTTCCATCCAGTTTTTTCCTATTAAAACCGATTTGAAAGTGCAAGCTTATTGCCTTGAAGTTAATTTACTGGATTAGACATAGTACGTGTGTTTCTAAAGTAGACTGTAATAGTAAAAATATACTTTTATGATTTCAGGTAAGTCTCTCAAATTAACTGTTGTTTAACAAATTCCTGGTTGCAGATTCTAGATAGTAGGCAGGGATGATCTTTTCAGCTTCACCTTCAGTAGGTGATGAGCTGAAGCTCATCATTCCTCTCGTGCTCTTCTTCATCAGCAGGTTTTCTCAGTTTGTGGTCTCCAGTGGAGGCCTCACTGGGCATGAACAGCCCAGAGTGGTTACTTCTTCTCCTGCTCCTCTCAGCACAGGGACAAGAGTTCGTTTCTGCTGTAACTCCACCTTGCTGACCCCTATTGTGACCCACTTAGTTGGGCTTCCTACTTCGTATTCACGCACTTAGCTTTATTTTTTTTACTTTATTGACATTTTGCTGAATTTGTTGAAATTGTTGTGTTGACTTTTGGACTGAACCCTCTCCTATTTGCCGAGATCCCCCCAGCATGCTGGAAGCTTCTCCCAGCTTGATGTCATCGCAGATTTCCTACATCTGCTCATTAATCTTCATTCAAATAGCCATTAACTGTTCCAAGGCAGGACTACCTGAAAAACTCTTCCACTACGACAAATAAAACTCTTCAGACCTTTCAGAGTAATTTCCAGTCTTTTTATCATCATGTCTGTAGTACTCTACTCAGCTTGCATATAAGAGTGTCAAATACATATTTAGAGTCAAGAGCAGCGCAAGTGCATTCCTTCTTTCCTAGGAATGAGAAGAACAAAAACGTCTTACATTATTCTTGGGTGTGGATATCAGCACATTTACTAAAAGCTTTATGCTTAGCCTGAGGAGTTCCACAGAGCAGTGAAGTGCTGTGTGTGAGGGATTATGGGTTACATATTTTTGCAAGTATTTCTTTTCCTTTTAGAATTGGTTTTCGCTGTTTGAGTTTAAAAGCCCTTTGGCAATTTGGATTATAGCAAGGTACTGCTAGATTATATTTTGGAATGAAAAAACCCTCTGTCTTGATTGCCACTTACCAAGTTTCTTTTCTTGGTTTTTGTTATGCTACTAAAATATCTTTCGCAATGTGGTATATACTTCAGATTTTCTAGTAATAAAAAATTAATTTTGCTTTTATTGACATTTTGCGTATTGGTTTAGGCAAGGTCGAAATAGAGGTATCTTGTTTCACTTTCCTGTGACTCTGCTTTTTTTGTAAAAAAATTTTAAATGCTGCCCTTCTACAATCTCTCATGTAAAAAAAAAAAACAGGTATCTTAACAAAAGAGTGGACAAGGCAAGATTAGGATTAATTATTGTTAGAGAGAAAGTTGTCTGTTCATAACTTGAAGCTGTTGTATCTTAAATTATTTGACAAAAAAAAAGCTTCAAACATTATCAGTTGTAGACCATCGTCTGATTGAAGACTGGGTCTTGTGTTGTTTGTGTACCTTGTTCTTATGCGTTATAATAAAAGCACTATTTGCATTCAAGAGCACACATTAATACTCATTTCTTACTCACATCCTGCGTGCTCAATTTCTAAAAGAATTGGTCGGTGTTCTGCAAAGACATATTGTTATATTGCATTTATCGTCCCCAATTCAGGCCTAATCTGCCTGAAGTTACCCCAGTCTTGTGCAAGGGAACAGAATTCAGCCCCTGATGTGGGCCCCAGGACAGAAATGTTTTACATATGCTTTGCGCCACCAGCCCAGGATATGAACTTTGTTTAGTAAGCCTGGTCTTTAAGCCAGCACCGAGCTGTAAATCAGTCTGATAAAGCTGTAAGAAGTAAGAGGGTTCCCACGGCAGCCTATCATTCAGTGTTTTGCAGGCAAGACTGGGAATCCAATTTTAATTTTTCATTTGCCAGCATGGTGAAGGGTGAGTCTACCAATAGCCAGGGATGACTTTCCTCATGCGTATGCTTGACCCTTTGTCACTGTTAGAAAAATCTGACCTCTATCCAGCTAAAAATACTGGATGCCACTCATACCTTCCTGCTGAATTTCAGATGGATTCGAGAGGGGTTTTTATGCAATACATTCTCCCGTCAAGGATTGTTCTTCTGGTAAGAAGTAGCTCTGATGCTGAAAATTAGTTATTTCTTCCCTCTTCACAAAAAAGGATTGAGGTTTTTTTTTGCGTATTCGTTCCTGGTTCTAGCGAGGGGAGACGTCGCAACTGCACTCCTTTGAAGACTTTGTGTTCTGCATCCACTCATGCTGCGTGGATTCAGTTTAAACAATACTGCAACTTGCTTACGTTTAACCCAACAGGGTTAATTCCTAGAAAAATTTGTGGTGTTGTGTACTGACAGCTTATTTTGACAGGTGTTAAATACTTTGCCTGCAGACGTGAGGGCGTTTGGCAGCTTAAAACATTTGGTTATTACGAGTTTGCTCTCTCAGAATGGAATTTTCCGTGCACAAGGAATATACCCTCCATAATTTGTTTTTAAAAGCTTTTTGTATTTTGTTGTTATCACAGTAATTCTTAGGAACCCTTGCCATAGGGCCAAAGACTTTGTTACTTGAAAGAGACAGTGAACTGCATGAAATAATATATGGTAAAAATGTACTACAATGACCAAGATTGGTTATTTAGCATCCTATACTGCAGTTACACTGTACACAGAATCTAATAAGATTGCCAAGTGCAATAATGTGTAAGAACTAGATGGTATTGGCTTGATAAGCATTTCACACATTATTAACGATACTGTTTTGGATTTTTCCCCAGGCACAAAGATGTCATCGTCAGCCAAGGTAAATAAAAACATATTTTTAAATGCTTTTTTTTATGCTTTTGACTGCATAGCATTTCCTGTAAATAAATACATTGAGACGTATGCTTATGAAACAGGGTTATAGAGCTAAAATACCATTATTAATTATTTCAAAAATTCATCTGGCCAAATGTTACTCAATATCTGTATAAGGATCTTTGAAATTATGGAGAAATGTCTCATCAACTTGGATCTTCTTTGGTGGGTAGTGGGAGGAATTGTTTTACTTTTTTGAAACAGAAAACCTTTTTTGATTATTTTCTGTGTATATGCATGAATAGAGAGAGGTTTTGAAAACAAAAGTCTAAAGTTTTTACTTATGTGCCGGTCTTCATCCAAGCAGGTGTAAGTGAGGCTTTAGAAATAGTTTTAAGATATTTTATTTCTGTCCCATAACCAGCAAAAATGTCAACTCGTGAAAAAAACAGCCAAGGTAAGAATTAATCTATGCCCTTTGGTCGCTTTCTACTTTAGCACTCTCACGAATCTTTTATTTGGCTTTTCACCATCAAAGAGCATCAGTGCACGATCTCCTAAAAACTTCAAGCATTTAAAAAAATATTTCAGCTTTCTTACTATGGAAACATATATGCATATGGAGGTTGCAATCTATGGGGGGATTATTTGAGGGTAGTCTGAAATAAATTACTACACACATGATTTCCTCAGAGAGGAATGTGTGTTCAAATAAGGTTCTAGAAGTCTTGCATTGTTGCCTAAGATATCAGAATATTACGAACTGCCAACTGAAAGATTTGTTTTATCTCAGCTTTCTGTCTTGCCAATATTACAACATATACATGCTGATTAGACAAGAACAGAGACTGAAGGTTTTAATGTAGTCTCCTAAAATGAAAAACGAGTCTCTTCTGAAGCGTATGTCTTTGCACCGATGAATCTTGCCTTCTGTGGCTACCTGCTGCTGCTGACCTGTTCAGACAGGAAAAGGAGCCTTCTATCTGAACGTGGTGGGATGTGACAACAAAAGAAATCCACTTGTGTCACAAAATTACTCTGCTTTGATGTCCTGCAAACTGTACTGAAGCATGCAATTTCAAAACTAAAGCATGTAACCTGAGTGCATGCTGTACACAACATATATCTATGTACAGAGGTTCTGTCTCATGCTTTTGCTGCTAATTAACAAATCTGTAGTCTGCAAATTCTGTGCTGTAAGCAAGATTACATTATACACAATTTGATTATTTTTGATCTTTTCTGGGTTTTCTTTCAAAAAGAATAAAAACTCAAAATTTTTTGAAAGTTAATATATGAATTGTAATGAAAACAAAATCAACTTGAATACAGTTGCTTTGTCGTTTTCAAATTCATCGAGAAATTACAGATTTAAAAATATTCTAAATTGACTCTTACGAAAAGCATCCTTCAAAGATAGTGAGGGTGAAAGAGGGTGCGTAAGCGTCAGAAACAAAGAAGAAATCTTTCTTTATGCCAGGTTGCTTAACACCAGCTCTGGAACGGTTCTTAGGTGCAGCAATGGTTACTGTGAAAAGAGAACTAACCAGCTACAGTTTAGCTTTGCAGGAATTAAATAAAACTGTTATATTAAAAATCTCCTGTCTACCAAACACAACTTTTCATAAAACCAGGTTGCATACAGCTAAAAAAACCTTCAATACTAATAATTCTTTCCTTACAATGTGCTTCCACAATTCTACATGTGCTGTCAAGATTGGGCTGTCCTTCGTTTCTGTCGTCCTGGTAGCTCTAACTCAGGGGACCTCGGTGTGTGCCCTGCTCTCTGTTGTGTCACTCTGCAGATGATGTGAGCTCTCACTGAAGGACGAACGGGTACCTCTCATGCGTGCCACACCATAGGCTGTTCTGAGCCCAGCCAGAATGAAAAAGAAATAGGATGCAGTGGCCCCATGTATATGGAAGCTGGAGAGAAAGTCTTGTCATAGAAAATTAATTTTCTAACATTTTGAACACGTTTAGTGGCAAAACATCATTCTGCCTTTAATGTGGATGAAGTTGCAATTAGTAAGATTCAGCCTTGAAGGATTTTTTCTTTTTTTATGTGGATCAATGAATGCATTTTATGACACCTTTTAGAGTGTGTGTGTGTGTGTGTTTAGGGCTGTGTTAGGTTTTGTGTTGTGTTTGCTGCCACAGAAGTAACCACTTGTTAGTTACTGTGGTTGCAGAGGGTCCCTCCCATCCTCTCCAGTGTAAGCTTAGCAATACTCGGCAAGTACTCTGTAGTGCAACGTCCTGTTCAGGGCAGGTGACTTTTAGCCTCTTTTCTACTGGATAGTTGCCACATAAATAAGCCAATTTCCAGTTGGCACCTTGACCCAACCGGTTGGAAAGTTCGAGAGTTGCACAGACAATGTGGTTTCTGGAGGTGAATCCCATGCAGCTGGACAGAGCTGTCTAGAGCAGAGTGGGATGAAGGGTAGCCTTTGCTCATGCTGTTTGTGCAAGACCTTCCTCTTCTGCAACCCAAAAGTTGTAGCTGCTTTACCACTCCTTTGTGGCTTGCTAGCCTTTGCCTCTAGAGACGAGCAGCCTCTAGCACGGTGTTAATTAAGTTACAGCAGCTCCCCTGAGCTGCTCATGTCACCAAGCTGGCAGTGAAGCGCTGCGTACAGCCCCGGCGCGCGCCTCCCACGCTAGCGATCGTGTCGGTGCACTTCCTAGAAATTGAGTGAGGGGGCTCTTGGGAAGACTGCTGGCATGCAGGCTGTCAAGCTTCAAAGCAAATCTAGGTAAAAATACTTCCATGTCTTTAAACACACATAAAATAAATTTGGAAACACAGTGAAATTGTAAATTGTCATAGCAGCATGTGTTTGCATGGGATGATAGGATGATACACACGTAAAATAAATTTGGAAACACAGTGAAATTGCAAATTGTCATGGCAGCATGTGTTTGCATGGGATGATAGGATGAAAGGTGACAATTCTGTGTAGCTGTGAACGTCCTGGAATCACTTTCTTTCCTTTTTTTGATTCAGCTATTGAAGAAACTGTTTTGAAACGTGTCGCTATAGTACAGTATCACAAAATGCAAAGAAATATATTTTTGCACATTTAGTTCTTGGAATCTTACTTTTCTAGCAGCAGAAGTTACTGCAATATTATCTGTGTTGTGACCATCTGTGCACATTCCTTGTGATTTCTGGTGATAGTATGTATTAGCTATGGATGTGAAAGACTTGAGGAGCAAGTAAGAATCTTAGATGAGCTTCAGTAGTGAAAGGCATTGATGTCAATGCTTGAATTGACTTTTGTACTGAGTCTCCCAGAGAGTGTGCTACAACTGTGACATGTGGATGTCAGCAAGACCTGGGCACCAGCAGCAGCATGGCGGGGAGCCGCAGCCTCCTGCTGCTTCGCTGGTGGTCACTTCAGTTTCCCCTCTTTAGCACCATGCTGAGGCCATGTGTGTCACCAGTGTTGGTCACATACCTTTTATCTTGGTACCTAGTTTCGTTCCCTGCATGCCTTTGTCTCTCCCCCTTGGGTTGAGTTGCATCTATGTCAGGTTAAGGTTAGTCCTGAGCTTTATGCATCTAGGTATATGCAGAAGCAGAGGTAATACAGACAGGAACATTTTGGTGATGCTAACCCAGTGAGGGAAGTATTATAGATGCTTCCATACTGAGAGATTTTTAGGTTTAGGGTTTTTTTAGCTTATTTTTGAACATTTGTTTGTTTATCCTTGTAAACCAAGACAAGTTTTTTACAATAAAATGTAGTACTAAGGAGGTATTAAAATTCTGTGAAAATCCAATAAAGCTGTGGGTGAAATGAACAGGTGCTTACTACAGCCTTAAAAGGACACTAGCTAAAGTTATTCTTTTAAATTCTTTACCAGCAGGTGTTTATAATTGCCTATAAAAGCCATCTTGCTTTTCACTTCAGCAGAGACATTTTTAAAGCATTAATCATAAAACATTCATACTTTTATACCCAGAAGTTAAAGACCTGGCTTATTTTAAGATAAAAGGTATTTTTTTTTCACTGAGATTCCGTGTTTGAATTTGGTTTTCAGTGATTGCAGCTCTGTATATGAATCACTTGTTCATTTATTATGAAGTAATAAGAGACACTTAGACATTTTTGGATGGCAATAAAAACCATATGTGAAAGAATTAATGAAAAACATTCACTGCATTCCTAAGTTTGTTTCTTTTTAGATTGCACTTTATTAGTTTCCAGTACTTTTTCTTCTATTAGTTTTAACTGTGCTGTAGTTCTAGCTTCATAGATCGGAGCAATTGTGAAGCACACAATGGAAAAATTTACTCTGCTGACAGCGTGTCCTGTCCACTGAGAATGCAAAATTCAGTAACTACCTCGGATCAGTTTTTCATCAGACACAGATTTTCTGTCAGATGCCTATTGAAGGTGCTCACGTACCTGAGGGCAAATGGAGACCCAGTCCATCTCATTATTATTGGGCTGTTTGCTCTCGGTCAGGCACAGTGCATATTGTTAGAAACCACAGATGCTGTCAGAAAAACAAATTGGTATTTGGGAGTTTTTGTCATTGTTTCTTGGTGAAGTCAGGATTTTATTATTTAAGCAGGAAGCATTTAGATATAGTCTTATTGAGCTTGTTTGTGTCCAGTACTCCTTTTGAGTCCTTTTTTTTTAATAAAAAGCTAGAATTTAGTATTAAATGAGTTATTTTAGTGCAAATGGTAACTGTTGTTAATACCTAGATTTTTAATGTCACCTGGTACCTGTGAAAACAGAGAGTTTGATTTACTTACCAAATTACATAAATTAATAACCAAAGAACTATGAAGAAATCACAAGGCAAAGCTGTAAAATCATTCCAAACTGAGGCAAATCTCATCTCTCATCTGTGTTGTTTTTTTTTCCCCAACTGTTTGGTTTGCATTGCGCCAGTGCTCAATAGTGGCAGTGCATGTCTGCTTGTCAGGTTCAGCAAGCATTGATCTGTAGCTCAGGGTGAGAGACGGCAGACCTGCAGCTGGATTTTAGTTCCACTGTAACTTAAAATGTAGTGGTCTGGGCATGGTGGTTGAATTTGGTTGTATTTGTCTCTGTGCTGTTAGCACTGGTTTAAATTAGAAACAGGCTTCTAAGCCTTTGTCCCTCAGGTTAGTGGTCCTACAGAGTTCTTGGACACAGGCCTGAAAGCAGAAAGCTTGTGGGAAAGAAGCTATTTGTAGTATTAAAAAGCATAACTTCACTGGTCAAGCAACTAGAAGGTGAAGACAGATTAATAAATGTACTCTGGATGTGGTAGTTTATTGTATATTATTAGAGAGTTCTGCTTGGCTGAGCTAGCTGGAGTCTTTTGGGGTTTTTCATTTGCTTATACTTCACTTTAAGGGTAAGATTCAAATGCTAAACACAAGTAGAACTGAGCTGAGGGTTTTGATGCATCATGTTACTCTTTCAAGCTAAATGAGGTGGGACCTACTGAAAA